TTGTCCAGTATGGACAGCAGTTTGAAAAGTGTGAAAAGTAAAGTAAAAAGCTCAATTTCAAAAGTTTATAACGTTTGTTGCTTTGAAATTAGGTCACTGATTAAATCCTTTGTAACTTTTTCACTTGTGTCAGGTGGGGTTTGTAACTTATACTGAGTCCCAAGTGACAGATTTGTCACTTGGGACAGGTGGAATTTAAAACTGAGTGCGGTGGCTGAGGCTTCTTCTTGATCTACTGTGGTTTGGATTGTTCCTCATTTGCATATAGAATCCAAGCTGACTACAACTACTGTTCTCTGCAAGGTACAGCAGTAGTACAAAGCTTTCAGAAACACTGTTCAGGCCAACAGCGTTGGAGTGTGTGATACCCCACTGGTTTTCAGCAGCTTATTGTTTTTATTCCAACCAAATCAGCAAAGAGAGAATAAATCAAAGACTGGCATGTTTATGAAGGTGATTACCATTAAAAGTAACACCATGAGAGACAATTTAAACAAACATGTCTACAGTGGCAATATCACATGCCACTCAAGACCAGTTAAACCAAAGCAACCAATATATGGGCTAACCCGCATTGAGCAGTGTAGAGTAAGAATTTAGGTGGTTTTATTACAAGAAATGTGCCCCCAGCTACTGCACTGCGAACCCGAAACTATCTCCTAGCTCATCATTTGGTGCCACAGCCAAGTGCAGCAGAGACCCAGCGCACGTTTTTGACAACTCACCATGGCACTCTGCACTCATCTTGTGTCACCTGACAAGTTGACACTGACTGGGCATTGGGAGACGGAGCCAAGCGATTACACTGCTGACCTCTCACTTGGCTCTGTGCTCAGACTTCTGGATGGGTTGGGTGATAGCAAAGGAACAGATGAGGAAGGGTGAAGTGGTGTCAGGAGACTAAGTTAGGACAAAATATATCCAGATGGACAGAAAGAGTGGGGAGGTGGTCATGAGAAAAAACAGGAGAAATCAGAAATGTTTGAGTGAGGACAAAACTGATTATAGAAGGAGAAGATGGCTGTGAAGTATTAACTTGCGTGTCAAGTGTCTTCTTCCATTCATCAACCCTGCCTGCCTTCCCTCCTCCCCTTTCCACACCCATTTCTATATGTAACGGATCTCAGCCTTCTTTTCTGCTCCTCAACATGCTTTCTTACATGCCCTTATATAGCTACGGGAGTCCTTGCTTTGCTTTACACCCCACTGCAAGCACCCACAACTTCACCTCTCTTATAAATACCCCAGCGTTACTAATATGGCCATGTCCTGTGGTAATAGGGAGGGGGCTATATGATGAGCTTTGGGGAAAAGTTCTACACTTGAAAATTCAAACTGGCAAGTCAATTTTGTTATAGTATTGTTAGTGCTGTCTTGTCAGTTCTCTTCTGTAAACAGTGGGGATCTTTTATGTTTTTGTAAGAAAAAACTCTAATCTACCACAGAATGACACGCAAACAAATGCAAAACTACACTCTTAATTATTAAGGACCAATTTGATGCGTCACAATGACAAGATAAAAAAAAAGTGTAATGTAATTTGTATTTAAGGCAATGTTGCTCAATCCATTAATTGCAGATTTAAAATATATGTTTCCATATAACATGGCACTCTTCTGCTTCCAGGCAGTGATTGAATAATTAGATGTTTTTTGTAATTTTTTTTCAATCACTGCTGTACACTACACTCAAAATTATTCAATAATGGTTTGATTTATTGTGTGCCCTGTTCACACTGAACTTGCATCACTTCAGGACCTCATGTGGTGGAGGAACTGACCTGTGATACCGTGCACAGCAAAGAATAGAAATGAAACATGAGATATAAATATCCCAAGACGTTGTATTATCCCTGTTAAAAAAATGTAGAGGTCATGTGAAATTTTGTCAGATGACTTTTGTACATGTAAAATATGGAGGTACTTTGTGGTAGAGTTTTCAGTTACTGGATTGCAGACATGGAAAATTAAGCAAACCATCTGCATTAGTGCAATGAGGTCCTAAAGTAATGATAGATCTGTAACACTTTACTACAACTCCTCATATTGTGCATTTATAAGCAGTATATAAACATCTAATAAAATGCTCAATAACCCATTTTAATATAGCTGCAGGCAGATTTAAGTCTTTAATAATGTTTTAGTCAACAACTTAAACTCCTCCTGTGGGCACTCATAAATGGAAGCTGGTGTATAAACAGATAATGCAGACAACATAGTAAAACACAGTTTGAATAAAATTTAATATGTCTTTACAGGAGAAATGATAAATGATAAAAAAAAAAATAGTGTATATTAATAAAGACTTAAATTGTCCTTGTTGTTGCGTGCTATTAAATGTAATTATACTGTTGACAAATGCTAAATGGCTAGACTAAAGTAAAGGGTTACCGATAGTCCTGTGTGAATGGGGCCTTAATCACATTCAATCAGTACAATCTCAGTGTTTAAGTTTGGACCTATTTTGTCTCCTGTGAAGGCCACTCCGATTTGTTGTAAACCTGGAAGCTGTGACTATTGTGCTTTGCCCTAAAGCCTTACCTCTTCTTGCAGTTGATCACAAGTCAAGCAGCAATTATCTTTCAGGTATGTTAAGGTCTGCCTTTTGTGTCTGTAAAGCTGGGCTGCGAAACACAGATTCTTCTGCTACTGCAGTATCTGCTGATTGTTCTCTTCCACTCCTTGACTGCAGTTTAGTTTAAAACAGATGAAATTACATCAAGCAACAACAAGACACCACAGACCAATGGAGACTGAACTGCTTTCCAAGTCCAGAAACAGCGGCTTTGGCTGTGCCAGTTTGAGTATATATTAACTGTACTTTGTGTTCCATAGCAAGCTGATTTACATGGGGAAATTGTTTGAAAAAGGCTCCCATCTAATCTATTAATCAAATTCTAACATGTCCATCCATCCATCCATCCTCCCACCCATTCATCAATGCAACCATCAATGAGCGTAAAGGGTAATTTCACCTAAATCACAAAAATATGAAGTGATGCTGTCAGTGATTACCTACCTTGCAGGTAGTTTTGGTTTTATGTATCAAAATGTCTACAAAACAGAAATCCAGGATGAATATAAATTTGTGGAATTTTCAAGCAGATATCCAAAGACTAAGGCACTCCATCTATGGATGAATTAATGTAATAGATGTAATCTTCAAGCATGAGCAATAGAATAAACCAGTGTGTATCGACTCTAGGACTTCATCAGGGTCTAAAATTTCACCCCAATTGGAATCCCAGTTGGAAGAGAAGATTGATACCACTTTCATTTCTGTCCTTTCAATATGAAGTTATAGCCAGCAGGCATTTAGCTTCCTAATTACCTTAGCTTAGCATAAAGACTAGAAACAGTGTTTGTTTAATCCATATACAGAAATGATGTGATGTAAAAATGATACCTTTTGGCTTTACGGGGGATATGTGCTGGACTATTTCTTTGCTTGGAGAAGTGACTTCCTAAGACACTGGTTACCTGGCAACCTCAAAGTGACGACTGGACTTCAGGAGCTAAGCAAACTGGCTGCTGGCTGTAGGAAAATGGCATTGATCCTCTCATGTAACTCTCAATAATAAGGCTTATTTCCCCAAAATACTGAACTGTTCCTTTAAAACCTCAGCTTGGATTAACATCTACATGTCTAGACAGAATTAGTAGTGCTTTTTTGTGTTTTGGGCGAACTTACCCTTTAAAGTAAAAGACCTTTCCCTGAATGGAACCTTTCCCATTAGCTGTTACATGGTGATTATCTTGTGTTTCTTGTTTGTGTTTCTCTTGTATTTAAAAGGGAAATAGGCCAATCTTCCTAACTAGATTAGAGAACATTTGGACCTGGATCTAATCATGAGGTAATGTGTCTGGACTCTGGAGTCCGAAAGAATGGATGGCATTAAAGACTGCCTGTGAAGAGCAACATAGCACATACTATCCATACTACAGTATCGTCTACATACTGTACAAGCTATTTGTGCTTTGGGGCATTTGGCCGCTTATGAATGTTAAATAATTTGCAATGCTGCTTTGCAAGATGCTCCATAACGCTTTTGACTCACTTCATACAAAGTGTAAACTCACATTTAAAGGTGCGATCATCCTTTTTATCATCAGCAGGTGCTAAACTGAGTGACAAAGCAATACAATGGAAAACAAATTAGTATGTGTAAAACTGGCAGAGTGTGTTCAATACGACTGTGAAATATACAGTTTATCAATGTGTGTGGAGAGAAAGAGAAATAAAAACACCAAATGTATGCTTGAATCTGTATATTTACAGTATGTGTAAATATGAATGCGCATGTGTGCAGCCGCTTTACTTTCGCAAAGTGTGAGCTCTCCCTTCCACCACACCTGTTGCAGCGTCTCTACCACTCGACATAGTTGGCTCAAGTTCTGCCCCTCTTGTTCTTCTGGAAACCCCGCTGTCCGTTCTCCTCTCACACCGGCTATGAAGGCTGTCAATTGTTGGCTTCAGTTTCACTCAGATTTAGAAAGTGCAAGGCAGCAATCCAAAGCTTTTGCTTTTAAGGCCTTGAAATTAATATGGTATGCCAAGGGGTTACTTGTGTAAATAAAACTGAAAGTATGTTTTTAATGCAGTTCTGAGTTTAGAAAATCATGGACGGACGGTAGAATCGCTAAGAACAGTCAGATATAATCAGCCCTGAATAAATAACTGAATGCAACTTTTATCTCCCTCACTCCCACTCTTTTCCCAACTCCCCCACCTCTCTCTCTGTCTATGCCGCTCCATCCAGCTTGCGGCCCAAGTTCTGGATGATCTTGATGATGAGGACATTGGATTCGGCCTGGTGGATGAAAAAAAGGACTCTGCTGTTGCCAAGAAGCTGGGTGAGCTTGCCAGTCACTGACAGAGACCTTGCTGGAGAAAACATAGCCTAATTGTCAACAATACCATTAGAAAGAACAAAATGAGCTTTGGCTCAGTGTAAATCATCTCTTTCAATCAAATCCCACCACTTTTCTCATGGCCTCTCCTGTTTTTTTAACTGTTGATACACTATGCAAACTCTGATTTTACAAGGACATCTTTATTTCAGTTATAAACATGTACATTAATCAATCATGACTGTCTCTCAGTTATGACGCTAGTTTTAATTGGAATTGGGACTTTTTTTAAAAACTTTTGTTTACGTTTGGCACTCAATTATTGATTGATCATCTCACTTAGAAATTTTGCCAGCAAAGAAAACATAGGACTTTCATATGTTAATTTAGAATAGTATATGTGTGGGTTTTTTAAACTTAAGCCAAGTGTTTCTCCATGGTCACAAATTAATGAATGAATACATAATTGACCAAACAAAAGACAGATGGACTAAATATCCAATAATAAGTGTAAATTTGTTCGTATTAAATGTCATACTGGGATTTTTATTGTAAATATGGGCTTCATACTGTAATAAGACAGTATAGTGTCTTTACTAGGCCTCAGGCATTATCTCATGTCTGAGGCCTAGTATAGTAGACAATAAATGAAACAACTCTGCCCTCAAGTGTTGACTAAGGATGTGACAGCTTCTTTATAACAACAGATTCTAGAGCTGTAAGTGCTGAAAACCCCAAACCCATAAGTTTAAGACTGAATGAAGTGAAAACAGAACAGTTTGTGTGGACATCCAAAAACATGTCAGTACTAAAAATTCAGGTATAAAATATGCCACATACTGTGAAGCTCAGACATACTTGTTTGTAGTCTCTTTTTTTGTCCCTCTTGACAGACATCAGAAATAGAAACATCTGTGATAAATATATGGCCTGCTGCTATTGAAAATGCTACATGCAGCAAGGAAAATAAGGCTATGTAAGTTCTAATAGCAAGAGTCTGTCTACTGAAGTGACTACTACAGCTGTATCATTTATTTAGCCGACCTGTAATGTATTTTTAAAATGACATAAACAAACTGTTGCTGTAGTTTACAAAAAAAATCAGTCTGCATTACCTACATCACATTACCACAAGGATTTCATAGCCACTTCCTACATAACCCAGCAAATATAACTTTTCTGTCTTTAGCAAACATTGATCAATAGTACTGTATTACACATAGTAAATTTTCCAAAAACGAGCTTATTTACAGCACTTGGCAAAGAGTTGCTCTATACAACATTGCATTATTATACTCATTATAAGGCTTTAGGACCGATAGTCAACCAGACTGAATAATGAGTCGCAATCGTAGAATCGAACTTAACTGGTATATTTAAGACCGATTTTTCTACCACTGCAAATTTCTGCGTAATAATTTTTCCTGGTATAATGATGGATTGACTGTTATTTACCATTAAAAAGTTGTTAATACCTTTTCTCACCAGGTCTGGATGAGGTGGAGAGCATCTATATCTTTGCTGACAATGAGATCATAGAATACGATGGGGAGCTGGCTGCCGATACCCTGGTTGAGTTCCTCTATGATGTAAGTAATATGTGGTCAATGACGAGGGATGGTGCCAAGCACTGGGGTTCAGTTCACAGGGTTTCTTTTTAATTGTAGAATTTGTTCACAAGATTGATATATTGAGCATGCTTGTTTTATTTAAAGGGCAAGCGTCTTCTTGTCTGTCCTGGATTATGGAGATGTTACAAATAGACAAACCTCTTCCTCCTCTCTTAAACCCCTAGATTCAATTTATTACTTCCCTGTAAGATTTATTACTTGTGACAGTTATTGTTACAGTTGGCTGGACATCTCTAACAGTAAGACGTGACAAGAATCAGTTTCTCAAATGGATACTTGCCATCATGTATCACTTCCTTATTAAACTGGTCCTACAGTCAACATTTGACTCATTCAAGTGATGGGCTGTTGCTCAAAGTCCCTTATGCAAACATTTGGGAAAACTGCTTTTAGTTTTTGTGCTGCACACACTTTTTACATTTTACATCACACATTAAAAACAGTATTGCAAACTACTCTGTTCTTGAATGTAACTGTTATTAACTGTGCTCTGCTGTCACCTGTTTGTTTGTGGGCATTTATTCTGTTTTAATTGTACTCTCGACATAATTGAAAGTGAGGACATTCCCTCAGTGGTTCCTTGACATTTAAAGTATCCCTCCACTCACACATGTTTTTTCTTTTTGTTCCTACATTTGGGTGTTTAATCTTCACTGTGCAGGATGATGTATGTGCAGAGTTTGACACTAGAAGGATGTTTTTTTACATTCATCTACTGAAAGTGGAAAGTGTGACATCACAATTAGTTTGGACATCAACCCTGGTTCAGTTTTTCACTTATACAAGAGTGAAACATACACATATTACACACATTATTGCTGCAAGCAGACTATTTGGACATGTCTTCAATAATATCTGGACTGCTTCTTTAAATAAAGGTAGAAGATATTAGGACTGATATAAATGAGTGTGGTGTTGACTGCAGTGAGATTTTTCTTCCACTCCAAACATAAATCTATCCTATATTTACCTCCTGTCTCTTGTCAGGTGATTGAAGACCCCGTGGAGATCATTGACAACGAGCGTGAGCTGAAGGGTTTCCACAACATCGATGAGGTCATCAAGCTGGTTGGCTATTTCAAAAGCGAGAAATCTCCTCGTAGGTTCTCCTCGTATCTCCTCGTACTCCTTAAATTACCCTTTTAACAGCTATTTTGAGCTTAATAACATCTTTTCTCATTTTCTCCATTCAGACTACATTGAGTATGATGACGCTGCTGAGGAGTTCCACCCCTTCGTCAAATTCTTTGCTACATTTGACGCCAAGGTTTAAATTGTTTGTGTGGATTTATGTTTGTATGTGAACACAAAACTGTGAATTTATGTTCTTGGGTTTATGTGTTATTTATAGATGGTTTTCATGATATTGTTTGTTATAGGAGCTGTCTGTCTTGTCATATAGTGCAGGCTTGTTGGTTGTGTTGTTGATGCTTTTATTCCTGAAAATTTGCCTTTCTGGTTAACTTAAGCATATGGTATTAAACTGCAGTGTCCCTGTGAAATAAAGTAAATACAGTAAAGTGGAGTGAAAGAAAAGCTGAATATCAGAGTTGACAAAGCAATGTCTTGGGCTTGAAACAGTACAAATGTTTTTAGTTTTTGTTT